TCCATCATAGATCTAGCACATTTAGAAAGGGGTCAAAAGACCTGTTCTGTAAAAGATACGAACATAACTATCAACTCGTAGTACTGTAATTGCTTTCTTAGGATTAAATTGAAAAATGCTAGTATTGGATAACCATCACTAGAATCAAACGCTGCGGATGCTCCCCGCAGTTGTGGCCTTTGTGCGTAGCCGAGGGCTGGATAGTGTTCTACGGAGCCACACGACGGCAACGAGGTTGCTCCAGCAAGAAGGGAGAACAATTGAGCGGGCCGCCGCTCCACCCCATCCACCCCATTCCAATCAGGACGCGTTCGCGTTCGGTGGCTCCTCCTCCACTGCCCGCAGGCGCCCTCGTCACGACCTCGAGCACCCGGAGCTCGTCATTCATGGAATGCCAAAGGGACACCGGTAGGGACTGGTAACCGGAATAGACGAGGCAGAGGGACTTGGACCCCGGCATTAGTTTTGAGTCCTCAATAGAGTAGTCGAACTCGTGCCGGAAAAAATCCGAGCCTTCTTCGTCATTGTTGTGGTCGTTGTTTCTTCTTCCAAACCGATTGACTCCCTTCCCCGCGGAGCGTGCAGCCGGCGWCAATTGCGGTTTCATGAAGGCCTTGCCCTTCCACCTTCCCTTGTTTTCCCGCCCATTTCCCACCAGGCGCCACGGAAGGGCAATTCCCCCAAAGAGCCAATGCGTCATGACGTTGGACGAAAGATCCATGACCCAGCTRTTGTTGTCCAGTAGAACCCCGTCCCAGATTGCTGGACTGTCGGCGTCACGGTCGCCGCTGCAAATGAATTCCTCCACTTCTTTCTGGGTTGGCGCCCGACTCTCCGCAAACACTCGKAGGAGGTCCTCCCGCTTGAGTTTCCTAAGGCGGTCGGCTATTCCGATCGCATTCGGCGATGGTTCGTCTAATGGTGCAAAGAGGTTGTCGAGAAGAGCGGAAGACGACGTTGCCGAACCCTCGTGGCGCTTCGATGCCGTCGAGACAATACCAGCTGTTTGGATCATGTTTCTTGCACACTGGCTCGCCACCGTGATAATGAGTGCCGAAGAGGCCGCGGCRGTAATCGTTCCCAGTGGCATCATGTTGTGTTGCTTTGTTTTTTTTTTCGCGTTGCGTGCCCTGTCGTGCCGAGAGGTTTGGTGTTTGTGTCTGTAGATGCGATTGGCTGTTCTCCTATCGGAATAGGGAGMACCTTCACAAAATTAACATGCGAGGGGAAACTATGATCTCAGATGATGACCACAATAACAACGTTTCTCCTTCTGTTCAATGATTGTTTTAGGGTACGTGCCGGTTTTGTAGCTTGTTTCGATCACATCGGAATGGCTCGTTGACTACGGCACTGTGCCGTATTTCGTTTCCTCGAAAGAAGATGCAAAGATTTTACTTCTAGATTTTTTGTATTAGGCTCACAACTCGTACTGTTTGTTCGTAAGGTTATCGTACAAAGAATGAAAATATGCTTGCTTCTCTCTCTTACTACTCGTATCATGACCTCCTACATCCTAAAAGTAGGTACCGTCTGAAGTACGAAGTACCGGTACGTAAGGTACAGTACTTGGTACACCGTCCGATGTCCGGTCCATGATACTGTATGATGTGATAACTTGTTCGTTCGAGACGTACCGTACCTGGTATGTACCGGTACGTAGGGTATGATTTTCACTTTTCATTTCAGAATTTCAATTTCAATATGAGTCAGTCGTCTTTGATTCACTTTTGTTGAGCGGGTCTGCCCTTCGACTGACGTTTCACCGCGGCACCCCAAAACTTTGAAAACGAAGGAAAAAAAAAGTGATGTCAAATCTCGAAATCATTCGTCCACAGTCCATCATCCATTATCCATTATCATCTTCTCTGTGAGAAAGCGACATCCCTTCATCACTCTCTGATCTATTTTGGAAAGGAAACGGAATACGCCTAAAAGTTGCAAAGAYAAATTCATTGCGTGGGGAACAATCAATCACACACTCTTAACGATGGCAAAAATTAAGGAAGAACTTGTATTGAGAAAGAGGAGGAGAGCAGGGAAGAACGGTATCAAACATACCACGTCGGTTTTCCTGATGAGCGAGTCGGGGGTGTTCCTGACGTTGCTTCTGCTCACCGTCATTGGTACCAATCACTACCACTTCGGCGAGAACAGGTCCATGTCCACGAGATTTGTGGCCGATGCTTTTTCTCTTCCACCGGCATCGTCGTTGTCATCGTTACCGCCACGAGAAAATAAATCCAAAAGAAGAASAACAACAACATGTGATTTTTCGACCTCCACAACTGAAGATAATCCTCCGTCGGTCGAGGTCTGGGACGGAGTATTTTCACAAGAGGTATGCAGGCACCTCCACGAGCTAGCGATCGATCACTCCGAGCGGACCACCAGCGAGGACGGCGACTATGACGACGACGAAGAAGACGACAGCCTGGACGGATCATCGATCTTTGTCCACCGCCGGAATGCTTGCGAAAGTGCTACGGCGGAMCAATTGACGCCGCTGGAACAGGCTCTGGATTCCTTTCTGACGGCCTACTACGAGAGCCATTCAGAGATCGCCCCTCGCCACGACATTATCGTCGAGTACTGGTGTCGCCAGGAGCACCTCAACCTGGAAGCCCACGCGGATGTAGACGAGGTATTCTTCGAGAGGTTCTGCAACCAAAAGAAAAGGGACAACATCGAGCATGGGTTTCGGTACCCCACCGTGGGCCACGTCCTCTACCTGACCAAGCCGACTCTGGGCCGTGGACCGACGTGCGTCTTTCCCCCGGAGCGACAGGGCGGCGAGATCACAGACGAGATTTCTTCGGTTGTCACGGTTCCGGCCGTCCCGGGCCGGGTCCTGCGGTTTCCGGGGAATGCTCTGCATGCGGTTCCCAAACCAGCCGATGTTTGGTTGGCCTACGAGGAGGACGAAGATGATCATGATGACGAGGAGGGCGAGGAGGACGAATGGGACTACGAGGACGACGACGACGAGGAGCGCTCCGTTGTTCTTTTCAATACTTGGGAAGCCWCTGACGACGAAGGAATCAGCTTGGGCCCCACGGGGGTCCATCCCGATCCCATGTTTGCCGTCGAATCCGATGCGGAACTCGTCGACATGATGATGAGCAGCGCGGACATCGAAGACAGCGGTGTGGAAGTCGACGAGGCCTTCGTCCGAGGCATGGTCGAATACGCTAGGCAACAAAAGACGGAACTGCTGGAGAGCTGGCGCGACAGCTTCGGCGAAGGCAGCGAAGACGAAGCAGGCGACAGAAATAATGCCCCCGTGGTGTATTCCGGGGTGCACTGCCGGCCACGGGCGTCCTGGAACCGTGCCGGCATCGGTGACGGCGCAAGCAAGACCGGTGGGAAAGATGCGAGCCATCCTCCGGCGTGCTCCATGCGCGTCCCCCTGATGGGCGACCGTTTGCGGAGGCGCTATCCGAAAAAGGCGGTGAGGTGGACGGTTCCGCCGTCCTTCAAGGAGGGAGTCAGCGACGCCGAGCGGCCCTTTCGGTTTCCCGTGGCGACCCGCAGGTAGCTCCGAAGGCATATTCGATCCGTGGTTTAGCCGTGCGGTGACTCTAGAGCGTAGGATGCAAGCCTCGGTGGGAAAGGAGGCCACAGGGTTCTCCAAGGAATACCGAGATACTACCGTTGGGCCTAAGAAAATCTACAGGTTTCCGATGGGTGTGATGAAACAAATGTAGTGAAAGACTCAATCATTGAGTGAGAACTGCTGCAAGTAAGGAGGCCACAGGGTTGCTCCAAGGAATACCGAGATACTACTGTTGGGCCTAAAAGAAATCCATAGGTTTTCGATGGGTGTGACGAAACAAGTGTAGTGAATTGCTAAATCATTGAATGAGTACTGCTACAAGTTTTGGGAATCAAAGATATTTAGTACTCGATGGATGCTACGAACTGTACAAAATCCTGGGTGTCGCTCACGGTATCCAGGCAACTTTAAAACGGCCTGGCACTCGGCGTTGGATCGCATCTAATTGCTAGGAATGTGGCGCATGCCGTTTGTATTTGATATATGTAAGGGGCAATGATGGAAACATGGAACCAGCGGCTGGGATCGATCCCGTCGTATAGTAGAAAAGCCGTTCCCTGGCTCCGGTCTCTTTCTTCGTCGATGGCGACTGTCAACGTGATGGTGTAATTCCGAAAGAGGGAGTGTGGCTGAACGCAGAACAACTGCGTAGACCTACTGTACGGAACATTTGTGTAATATACTGTAGCAGTCGTTTTGAATGAATGCGGACCGTCGACTGCGTTTTGCGTTGCTTGCTTCGTCCGTGGCGTAAGGGAGTAGGAACCGGTCTCTTCTATACATCCGTGGGTCCCGTCAGGTCAATAAATTCTCGCTCCTTCCAATCGCTAGATCGCTGCATCGCCTGCAACGAGAAGGGATTGTTTTTCGTCGTCTTCCGCAAGCCACCGGGAGGCGCAGCGAGCCCAAGCCCAAACAGCAGCTCGCTGTTTTGTTTCGTTCGTTGCGGCATGGGGGTGTTTTTGTTCTTGTTGTTGTGGTAGTTGTTCGCCCCGCCACCGGCAGGAAGTACAGCGGTCGGCAAGCCCGGGAAACGCACCGGTTGGTTGGACTGGTTCTTGTCGTGGCTGCCGAAGAAGGGGAGGGGATCGAGTTCGAATTCCGCCAGGCTGAGATCGTCGCACGACGACTCGGCGTCGACGTCGATGACGACGCTGCCGGGGGGAGGGCGCGAACGCGAACGAGAGCGATCCCCCGGGGCAGCAGCAATGACGCCCGGGTCGAACTCGAATTCCGCCGCGCTGAGGTCGTCGTTGTCCGTGTGTTCTTGCGTTGGTGGCGGGAGGGGGCTCGGCTCGAGGTGCAAGCCAGGGATGGCGTTGTACACCGGATCGATGCCAGTGGCAAGGGTTCCCCTTTCCCTGCACGGTGCGTTGTGGCTTCTGGCTCCGCAGTTGTTGCTAGTGCTGCCAAAGTTGTTCTCTGGATCGGGCTCCGGAAAGGCCGAGCCCGACAGAGATAAGCTTGGCACTACGGTGTTGCCGTGGCTTGTTCGATTGCCCCCGTGGCCCACGGCATTGGAGTGGTGGCTGCCGATGGTGTTGGTGTTGGTGTTGATGCTGATGGGTTCGTCGTTGTACCTCGTCGAGATCTCGGACCTTTCGGAGTTCGTCGGGGTCACCTTCGACCGGTCCTTGCCGGATGGCTTCTTTGGGTCTCCGGTCCCGGCGCGGAGGATTTCCTTCCGGAATTCCTCGCACCCGAAGAGTCCGCTCGCGTCGTACGTTAGGCTCACAGACGTGGTGGTCGTGGTGATCCGGGTGATCCTGGCGCGCTTGGAGGGATTCCGAGAAGGCTTCGGATCGTCCGAGCCGATCGGCTCGGGGGKTCGTTTTTGTGCGTTGAGTGGTTCTTGGTGTGATTCATGGCATGGTTTTTGGAAGATAGGTTGGTCCCAATCGTCGTGCTGCGCCGCCGTCGGGTTGCTTCGGACGTCCTCCAAGAGGGGGAAAGGGTTGATGCCACTCCCGACGACGTGACTGTGCAGGCCGGCATCTAAGGGATCGAAAGACGTGGTTTTCGAAGGAGTCTTATCGATGAGGTCGGCGTCATCGCAAAAGATGCTCCTGCTGACGACCATGTCGCCATCCATGGTTTGGTTTGGGTTTGTGATGGATTTGATTTGATTTAATAGTATTGATTTGATTAAATTTTGATTTCATTTGTTGTTGGTATCTCTTCCGCGTTAGAATAAGCCGAAGCGAGCACGCCTAGCAGAGCGTCTTTCCCCCTCGAGCAGGGTGTGTGCCTAGACTGGTTTGCGGTGGTTCGTTGTCCATAAAGATGTGGCGAGACAGGTTGTTTCAATAAATTTTTGTCCAACGGGTAGTTTACTGCTGGAAATTCATTGGGGCCGTGTGCATTACGGTGCTGTCGCGAGGAAGGGAAAAGAAGAAAAGAAATTCAACCCAATTATTCTGCAATTGAACTTCGAAAAACATGATATAGCGCTTTCGGTACTATTCGGAAGTATGCTTGTGATAACGTCTATCAAGCTATAATATTGCAAAATATTCCGAACCGTTTAGGATCCAAGAACCTTTACTTATCGCAATTGTAACGGTAACAATTAACATTTTTTAAAAAAAGAAACCGCTCTGTTTATCAACCAGCAATATACTTATCGCAATTGTAACGGTAACAATTAACATTTTTTAAAAAAAGAAACCGCTCTGTTTATCAACCAGCAATATCTATGATATTTCAGTGTTTTGATGACAGCGTTCGTCCGTCCCTCTTTTTCTATTAGATTATTTTTGTGTATTCATGTTTTTTCTTCTGAAATTCTCTATCACAATCCTTACGACGGAAGGACTTGTGGTCGACTTACAGGTTAACATCAAAACGGGTAGATAAGAAACCCGTGATCTGCGGTTTAAAAAAGCTCCCCCTCATGGTCCTTGTCAAGGTCAAGCGAAAAAAACATTTAACTGTCCCACCTTAAGCTCAATTATTTAAGCCATTCTCTAGTTGCAATGACACTATAATAATTTTAATAGCCCCGGCCTGTCAGCAGAGAGGAATATCTCTACATAAGCCTCCTAATGGGATTGTATGACATGCGTGTCATTCTCTGCATGCGTAACAACCTTAAGTACTGTTAAGAAATGGTACAATTACGAGTACGTACTTAGTATTCCACAATATTTCGATTCCATCAGCATACCGTACGGTAAGCTAGTCGAATAAAGTACTATGGGAACACCTGGAACAAACAGGAAGAATGTTCTGCGCTAAAATTTTGCCGCTTTGAGTAATCAGAAAAGCTTTCATACAACCTTGCGAGATAAATTCGTATTTTACTACTTCGTCCTATGTAGAAGTATTGGTTACAGTACTGTACGGTACGTACCCCGAAAAGGAAGGATGAACTCTTTTCTGTGGTGAATAGCCTTCTGTGGTCGAATTCTGACGTCCAATCCTGGGGTAGACTTCCTCAACGTTCTTCTATTCCCTCAACACCCCAAACGTTCTTCTACGCCCCAGTACCGTTTTCTTGGTTTTGTATCTTTTTCGCTCCGATAAGTACCGGGTTCGTTTTTCGGATTCCTTGCTGCCGCATGCCCGGCAAGCAGAACCAGGATGGTTTTTTGCAGACTGACAGACGCCTGGGGACACGGGCAGGAACAGGCAAGGCCTGTCGTGCCCGGAGGGAGCGGGCGGGCTCTCAGAAATGGCCTTACAGGCCTAAGGTACCTCCTTTATGTACGGTACATAGTCGTACCTCCGGTTCCTCGCGCGCGAACAATATCACTAATCACTACCGTGGATCCACTTACCGTAGCGGTATGTACGGTACGTACAGTACTTGGTACTCGATCGTACCATTCAATTTATGGCCCCTGGACACTATGCAATGCCTACCTACTTACCTGTACCGTACGTAAGTCCGTACCTGGTAACGAACAAATGGTACTACGGTATTGAATCTACGAGGCTACCGCAATCTTTTGGTCTGGGGAAAGAAAAGCGGCGCAATGCAACGTTTTGCCGAATTACCGTAATGAATGGGTCGTCCCTTTCCTTGTTCCTAGAGTGTCCTGTCGATTCTCGATCATAGTAGTCCGTCCGTCCATCGAAGAAGCTCCAGAGACTCCAGAAACGACGATGGTGCAAGAGGAAGCACACCCATCTCCGGAATCCGGCTGTGGGCCGGACAAGGACCACCACGGCCGAGGATCTCTGGCATCATCCGCTTCGTCTCTGTCGTCGTCGTCGTCGTCGTCTCTGTCGTCGTCGTGGAAGTCCCGGATCCTGTCGCCCTTTCGCTCCGGAAGCGGCAGCGCAAGCGCAAGCGGAAGCAGAAACAGAAACGCAAGCGAACCCGCAGACCCGACGCCGGCAACCGTGTCCTTTGTGGTCCTGTGCAACCCCCGGAGGATCTGCCACGGGGCCAACCTGTACGGGAACCGCAGCGGGGGAGAGAAAGGCGGCGGCGAGCCGGAGGGACCCGGAGCCGCCTCCCCCCGGGTGCGCCACGGCCGGAGGAAGCTCTCGGACCTGGTGGGCGTCCGGCTGGCGAGGAACGAAGCCACGAAGCGCTTCGAGGTGGCACAAGAACCCCAGGAGGAACCCAAGGCGCCAGAAGAACCCGAAGCAGCGCCCGGATCCCCCCTTGCGGAACCGGCGAGGCTCCTCCCGGGGGGCCTCCCGGCCTACCTGCTCCCGTCGGAGGGGGACGTCCTCGAATCGATCGACGGAAGGCCGGTCCACGGGAGGCGCTGCTGGGACGAGGAGGCCCTGTACCGGGCGATCGTCGAAAAGGCCGAGTCCGCCCTCGCGGCTCAGGGGGACCCCCCGTTTGTGTCCGTCACGCTGACCTTTTGCCGCTCCGGAACGGCCCTCGAGGACTGCGGGGGGCCGGAACCGCCGCTGCAGCCGGACGAACGCGAAACCGAGATCGAAACCGAGAACGATGACGATGACGAACCCGAGATCGAAGCCGAAACGGATGCGCCCGGGCCGGAAGCCTCCCGGCCGCTGCCTCTGGATGCCTGTCCCGCGCCGATCGTCCACCAGGTCTTTCTGGTCGACCAGACCGGCCGGAGCATTTCCGCCGTCCTGGGGGAAAGGGAGGACCACCCCTTTCTGAGGCTCGACGTCTGCGAACCAAAGGCGGGCCGCAAGCCCAAGCGGACCACCGGCCCCTCCCGCCTCCGCATCCGGTCCGTCCCGGAAAGCAGCTGGCTGTCGAAGCAGACCCGCGTGCGGCCCGGGGACCTCCTTCTGGAGGTCGACGGGGTTCCATGCGGCAACGGGGAGATTGCCCCGGACGAAACCTCCCTCCTCTGGGCGACGGCCCTCCTCAAGGCGGCGGAAGGGGGCTCCTGCCCGGGCATCTCGGTGGCCTCCAAGGCCCCCACGAGGGTGGCCAGGATCCGCAGGGCGGCCGTCACGGTCGGCGGGGGGGCCCTGGTGGGGACCGGGGCCGTTCTGATGGCCACCCCGCTGCACCCGGTCGGCCACGCCATGGCCCTCTCCGGCCTGGGCGTCCTGGGAACCGAGTTCGAGGCCCCCCGAAAGGCCGTGGCCGGCCTCCGCAGCAGCTTCTCCAAACGGCGGCCGTCGGCGGCGGTGGGGAAGAGCGGTGGTGGCGGGAACGACGGCGGCGGCGGCGGCGAAGACCACCCTTGCGCCGAAGCAACGGCGGCAAGCACTGCCACCGCAAGCAAGGACGAAAGCGAGCCGGCGGCAGCTCCGTCCGAAAACGCCTGACACCACCACCACCACCACGGTCCGGCGGTGGCTGCCAGCTGTGCTACGGAAAGGATGGATCGGTGTGTTCTGCGCGACAGCACAACCCCAGTGACAAACCACCAGCACCACGGCCCGACGCTAGCTACGAATCGATTTGTGTCATGATACAAGATATGGCAGTAGTGGGGTGTCAACTTTTTGAATACGAAACAGCTACTGTATTCGCGTGGTGGATTTGGGAGGTGGTGCCTCGGAGGAACCCCAGACGCACCCATCCAATCATCACCGGGCCATCGCGCATCGCGCAACCGCATGCGGCATGGGCCCGGTTTCCACCACCGCGTGGGTCGATGCGGCATGGGCCCGGTTTCCACCACCGCGTAGGTCTGCTGCCGTGCCTCGCGCTCCGTGCAATCCAGCAACGGCAACGGCACTGCGAGGCAAGGCAAGGCAAGGCAAGGCCATCCCGTACAGAAGTGGTGCCCGAATGCAACACCATTTGATTCGAAAAAAAAAAAAAAAACATTATAGAACCAATGCAAATTTCGTGCGCAGTGTAGTTTCCCCATTCCGGTCGGCTGTCTTCGTTTTTTCTCGAGCCGAACGGTGGTGCCCTCTCGATTTGCTATGTTTTGTTTGGCAGGCTCGGCTCGGTGCTGCGTTTCGGGAACGCCCTCGTCGGATGATTGATTCGCGGTGTTTGCTACAATGCGAGTAGCCCGGTGTGTGTTTCGGCCGGGTCCGGTCCGGTTCGTTTCGTTTCGTTTCGTTTCGTTTCGTTTCGTTTCGTTTCGTTTCGTTTCGTTCTGATTCTGATTCGTTTCCATCGCACACCCCATCCCAGCTCGCTCCTTCGATGCACTGGACGGGGCACGGATTGGATGGATCGCGGCGTGGCGTGGCATCCCCTCGTTCGCCCTTCCGACCTAGGCCGCCCTCGACACCGCAAAAACCGCAAACTGGCGGGAGCAGGTGGCAAAGGCCCTCCCGAAGAGCCGGTCGGAAAGCCTCTCGTAGGAGAAGCCCGCCCTTYCGAGCTTTTCGAAAAAGACCGGCTTGGTGTCGTCCATCGTCACGCCGATCAGCGCCACGGTCGGGGGCGACTCCCAAGCCGGCCGGGAGAACTCGTCCAGGGCGGCGATGAGGGGGTCGTGCAGGTGGTCCCGGTAGGCCACGTCGCTGCCGACGATCAGGTCGAAGGAAGACGGAGGAGGGGCACCGTCCCCCATTGTTCCGAAATCGTAGGGCTCGCCCCAGAGGTACTCCCGGACAGGGGCGATTCGATCGAGGTCGAGACCGACCWMGGGGTCCGCTCTCGGGCTTTCCCCCCCGGCCCGTTTTGCGGTGCGATCGCGCAGGATCTGCGGGAGGATCCGCTCCAGGTTCGACTCGATCGTCGCCTTCATGAGGTCCGTGTGCTCTGCCGTGTCCGTCACCACGACCTCGATCCCCGGCCAGTTCGAGGGAACGGCGAGAGCCCCATCGGTGGGTGGCTGTTGTTGTTGTTGTTGTTGTTGTTGTTGTTGGTCGTCGTCACCGGTGGTGGTGGTGGTGGTGGTGCCGGTGTGCCCGTCCCCGGTTTTGGTTTCGTCAAAGAAATTGTCGTCGTTGCCCGCGATCTTGTTGGCCTCCGCCACCGCCACCGCCGTCACCAGGCAGACGCCCAGAAAGCCGTTCCCGGACCCCAGCTCCAGGACCCTCAGCGGGGGGCTGCCTTTGCTTTTGCTTTCGCTGCCCTGGTTCTCGCTGCTCCCCCTCGAGGCCCCCTGCGCCTTCAGCCGCTCGGCCTGCCGCAAAAAATGCGGGGACGAGACGTACTCCGCCAGGGCAAGCCCCGTCGTCCACAGGCCGCCGCCGATCCCCGAATCCCAGTCCTCGTTCAGAAAGATGTCGTACCCGGGAGCCGAGGAGCGGGCCGCGGTTCGGCGCCCGGCGGGGGGATCGAAGGAGAGGTCTCCGGGGATCGTGAGGACGGCTTTCTCGGGGGAGGAACGGTCGGGTTGCCGGTGCTGCTGGTCGTCGCTCATGGTGTGTCGTTGTCCTCGTCCTTGTCGTGGGGATGGGGATGGGAGATTTAGATTTGCGGGGTGCTGGCCGTTTCCATTCGTGTCGTGTCGTGTCGTGTCGTGTCGCGTCGTGTGGTTTGCTGTTGGGGTGTTTCGGCAACGGTGCGACGGAACAATGCATTCGAAGATCTTTCACCATCGGTTGTTTTGCGATGGTTGCTCACCCTTTCTCGATTGCTGTAATTCCTGTACAGCTATGTACTTATGTACTCGTAGGAATTACCCTACCGTAAGCTACAGTACTCGTACCTTGGAAGATGAAAAAATAATCATTGGTTACGGTCTGTCTGGATTTCGTAACAGTACGAGTAATTGGTCTGCTTGGGTGGCAGTGGAAGTCGAATTTATTTCCAATTTAGTCGCATGCCACCAGCATTTAAGCTGGCATCTCATTCCCATAACTTTATTGTAACTTTATTGTTTTACGATGTTTCTTATAGTTCAAAATCCTATGGGCTCTACGACTAAAAAGATGAGTATACCACCATGTTTCTTCAAGAAAATCCAACCCCCAGACCCCCCTTCCGCTTAGTGAACCAGCAATTAGTACTACAGTCAAAACTGTTTTAGTCTTTTTTTAATGTTTCAACTTCCACCATGATAACATGGGATTGGCCCAAAACTAAGTTATTGCTAGTAAGGTTGAAGTTAGGCTCTGAAAAGAATGTAGTAGTAGTAGAAGGTTTTCAACAAAAGCACTGTGGCTGTTTGATGTTTCTGAAATAGGAATGGAAATCATTGATTTGTTGTGTAGTATGCTAGGTATTTTTTGTTTTGCTGCTTTTGTTTTTTCCAAAGATCTTCATCCCTGCTGTAATTTGTGAACACCTGCAAGCCAGTTCTCCTTGCATTAGCAATATTGATTGGAAATTAAGTTAATTGAATTCCCTTGTGACTTGTTTGAATTTGATGGGTAATTCTTGATTCATATTCTTGCCGACATCAAAATTTTGCTGTTGCTGCCGTGTTTTGAGGAGTTTAAGTGATCACTTTCTTGAGTCTCCTTCTTCAAGGACTACTACTGGTGCTACCTCCTCCATCCATTTGACTTTCTCAGTAGTATCTACACATGGAACATCAAATCCATCAATGCTGTTGATAATTTAACAATCTTGGTACTACCCATTTTTCAGTTTCACTGACTTGAATGTAACATACAATTTAAGCATTGGATCTATCCTTTTGGAAGATCTGTTGTTTGTACTTGCAACAATGTCAGCATCTGATGTGCCAGTCAACAAGCAGTATTTGAGAAATTCTGGCATGTCTCTTTATTTTCTATCTTTGTCTATCTGCAGTTTTAGGTTTGATGCCTTGATTACAATGGTGTGATTTGGTAATCTCTCATTTATATTTGTTGAAGAGTTGTTTTGAGAAACTCAGAAAATATGCCATCATTTAWTGCKCATTTGTCTGCATTGCTGTATGTTGCAYAAGCAATATCTTCTGGGAGTTTGTCCCAAGGTTTTACTACAATTCTTGAATTGATGATTTGAACGTGCTCCTCTTTTAAGCCAATTGTTCTTGTTAAATCATCAAGAAGCTCTCCCCAGATTGGATCATCTCTAAACCTGCTGTGGTTTGTTTTAAGTTCAAGAAATGTGTTGGTTTTTCTCTCCAAAGATGGAAATCATTTTTTTTGACAATAGAGAGTCTCCTCCCACAGGTTTGAGTTGATTGAAGTTGCCTGCAAAGACAATTGGTAGATTGCCATACAAAATTGTACTATGATGGCTTGGCACACAATCCATTCAGATACTCATTCAATGTTTCAAYTTGTTTTATGCTAGCAAATGATATTATCTYGTCAACAGCAATGAGTAATGTGAAGTTTTTCRTWGCTTTTCCATGATCAGTCTSATGGGTGACAACATCAAAGGTTKTGTGTAGTATTTGATACAAAACACTTCTTTGAAGCTCATTAGGTTTTATATTTTKGTTGAGATTTTGTGTATTGTCTGTAGAAAAAACCAAGTTACCTGAGTCCTGAAGTGCAATTGCATTTGAACATGGTGGGACTTTTGGTGTTTTCAGCAGTGTTCTTCCACACTTGTGGGAACCTTGATATTAGGTGACAACCAAATTGTTGATTTGCAGCGTCTTCTTGAATATGTTTGTGAACTGAATCTGAGTTGGATTATATATCACATCCATATTGTCAACAGAATTTGCTTGAAGTTCATCAAACAAACAAAGATTGCCACTTATTTGTTTGACAGCAGTTCCCTCCATTTACBAAAGGATTTTGTGTAACTTGTTCTATAGCATCTTTTGATCTCCCTGAATTAAAACTGCTCCTGTAGCAATTTTGGGCATTTTTCAGCAGTTTCTGATGATTCAATTTCAATTTCCCACTTTTTAGATTTTCCCTGAATTTTGTTAAACTTTTCAAATCTGTCTGGAGTTCTTTTTTTGCATTCCTTAATGAAAAAATAGAATCATTGCTGTTTTGGCATATTCTTCCATTGCCAACAAGTTGTGATCAGTATCTTTTGGATTATTGATGTAACCATCAATGGGGATGCCTCCAAAGCTTTGACTGTGCCCATTTGGAAATTTTCAAATGATTTTWTGCAGGGTGTGGAGTTGACCAATCAGTTATTTCTTTCTTCTTCTTTGATTTGATTCCTTTTGTTTTGGTGAAGCCAGAGAGAAAAATCATAAACAGAAACATCTTCAGGTTTGCCTGGCATGCACAAATAATTTGCAACACGAGATTTAAGAAATGGAATGATTTTGTTTTGAACTGTATTGGAATCCAAAAAAAATTACCTGAACTTTGATAAATATTTCCTCAAATCTGTCTGGAGTTTTTGAATCTACCTGGACTTCTTTTTTGCATTCCTAAATGAAAAAATAGAATCAGTGCTGTTTTAGCAGGTGTTGACGTTGTCATTGGTGTTGTCATTGGTGTTGGTTTTGGCATTGCTATGCTTCATGATGCTCTTCCCCAACTTCTGTGGAGAGGAKGAACTGCCAGTATTTTTTGTGGGACTCAGCTTGTCCAACAAGGCATCASTTGGTGCATCATACATGTCATAGCCGTAACTGTAGCAAAAGCTGTCCATATTTATTGTTGTTGTTGGCTTCTTTTTAATGCCAGASTGACTGATCACAAAAAGAATAACTGAATTTGTGAGGAGTCTTGGGAGGATTTAGTAGGTTTTCCTCTTACATTTTGGAACAGCCAATTGCAAATTTGACTTACACGTATTTATTTGAGTCTTGGGAGCAATATAATTCTCTTAACTCTYGGAATGACCAATTGCAAATGYGACTGTTTTTTTTAGTCTTGGGAGCAATTTGGTTCTCTTAAATACTGGAATAACTTCTTGTTGTCACAATAATGACTCCTAAATGTTTAAGTTAAATATGAATAATATGTTTTTGGTCAAGGTACTAATTTATTTGCAAAAAATGGTATACCAGGGTTTACACAAATCCACACTAAAAACAAGAAGTTTCTTTTTGTTTCCTTGGTAAGTCCAGGGCTGTACTAAGAATTCTTCAAGGTTATTGGCTACCATGCACTAAGGATAGTGGTAGTCCAGTGCACCCTAGCCAATAGTGCTATCACCCACACCYGTTGCTTGAACGGACTATGTACTCGTACTATTGTACAGTAGTATGCACAGTATGCACAGTTTGATTTATGACAATCCTTGAGTACAAATGAGGATACGTACTCATAGTAGTATGTACTACATATCTTATTATAATTGTTACTACAAGTTTAATTTGAGTAAAATGCATTAACTGTATGAACCCTACCACGTCCTACAGGGGAAAAAGGCATTCTACCACTCCAACACCAACAATTGTTACTAGTATCATCGCAGTTAATTTTGGGCCCAGTGTTTTGGTACTGATCCTACATAGATCTACTAGTTTTTGGTCACTTTTTGACCGCAAACAGTGTAATAGGACATTTAGAACTGCTCTGGTATGGCCTGAGAGCAGCTGTTCTTTGGGGATTAGCTTCCTAATAGTGTTGGGAACAGTGCCATGTGTCTTTGCGATCATTAATGTATTCAACACATATATTTCTTATGAATTTCAACGCTTCAACTTTTCAACAGACCATGAAMATTTCAAATAACAAGAAGTATCACATACAAAATCCAACTTAACATGGTATAACGTGTAGCTTTGCTCTCACTCCTTGACAGCTGCTAAGCCCACTTTGCTGATTGCTGATACTGGGTGTTGCTCAAGCCTCCAGTATGAATTAATTTAAACTTGTTTACTGGTTCTGATCAAATGGTAGGTTGACCATGGGAATTGTATTGTTGTTCGTATGAGTTGTTGTTGTGTATCGTTGTTGCGTGTTGTTGTTGCGTGTTGTTGTTGCGTGTTGTTGTTGCGTGTTGTTGTTGCGTATTATTGTTGTGTATCATTGTTGCCTATCATTATTGCCTATCGTTGCTGCATATCATTGTTGCGTATTGTTGTTGCGTATTGTTGTTKGTTGCGTATCAGTGTTGCTGTGTATTGGTGTTGTGTATCAGTGTTCTTGTTTATTGTAGTTGTGTTCTTGTTGGTGTTCTTCTGTATGTTCTTGCTGGGATGTATTGATGCAACATTGTTGGGGCTATTGATGTTGCCATTGTATCTTACCAAAACACGTTGTTTGCATCCTCATCAATTGTTATACAAGGATGGGAGAAGAAGCCCCTTTTGTATTGCTCATTGGGCATGAACACCACATTAAGGATCTGATTGAGGCCTACAGTGCTGGCATGATAATTATACAGCAAGATTGCTGTGTTCAAGAGAATCTTCCTTTCACCTTGCTCTTCAAACCTGATCCTATCCTTCAGCATTGGGAACTGTCCTTGGATCATCCTCATGCCTCACTCAGCAAGCTGTCTCAGTGAGGTAGCCTCATGATTAAGGGATACAGCAGCTCTAGCAGCGCTTGTGTCATCTAGGAGGTCTGGATCCTGCTGGGAGCTCCTTTCAAAATACGGCTTCCCAAGCATTTTGAATGCTGAACCAACCACTATCTTTGCTCCATGCAAGTTGTACATGTCCTCCATCTTCCTGTAGACTCCATACTCTGACATGGTGCTATCGTGCTAAGACCCAGGACAGTTGAATGTGGTAGCTCTAATTTTGCCATCAGGGGCAAAGACAAAGAGTCTGTTGACACAGGTATCATACGACCATCCATTGTAGAACATGTATTTCTGCAGTCTAAGCTTGAGGCCATCTGCAGCGCCCCACACCTTTTGCTCTCCAAGTAGAGGGTATTTCTCCCCAATAGCCTCAATATAAGYATTGATCTCCTCTCTGGCAGGAGCTTGGATCCTTGCATCTAGATTGTCTTGCAAGACATAAATGAGAACACATCTGGAGAACTTGATCCACTTGTACAGCACTGTGGATGTAAGACCAAAGGCCATGGACAGCCCTCTTGCTACTGATCCACGTGTCCTGAACCAGTGCAGTGTTAACCCAAGGCAGCAAGTGGTATTTACTTCACGATGTCGACCSTTTGGCATTCCATTCCTGTGGAAGCTTCTCATTCTAGTCTTCCCTGTTGCCTCATCAATCATGTACTGTACATGTTGAATACTAGTGCAAAGAGTTCCATGAGACCTCTGAAGACAGCAGAACAGTTAAGGAGGACCTGCTCATTGCCAGAACTATACAAGTGGAGGAATGGAGACTGATTCCATCTCYGGATGGAAATCCTTGGGTTTCTCCTATCCCTATGATGCCTCTCCTCTGCAGACAGCTCTTCTTTGTCTAGCTCATTGTGGAGAGTGACACAAAATGCACAAAGGATGATRAATTCTAGTGACATTGTCGGGGTAACAGCGCTTTGTCGGGGGAGTCRATGTTCCTTTTTAATGATCCAAAATTTCTGTCAGCAAGCATYGATATCCATTTGATGCTGCTACAGCTATCTTTTTGATATAAAACAGTGACACTTTAGATTTGTTTTGGTGTGCTTGTCGTGACACTTTAGATTTGTTTTGGTGGGCTCCMCCGGCTTGGTGACACRTCAGTGACACTTGAGAACTGGCTGTCAGATTCTYATTCTAATCTTTCCTTTTGCTTCATCAATCATATACATGTTGAATACTGGTGCAAAGAGTTCCATGAGGCCTCTGAAAACAGYGTGATCTACACCACAACAGTTCRGAAGGGCCTGCTCATTACCAGAACTATACAAGTGGAGGAACAGTGACTGATTCCATCTCCTGATTGCAATCCTTRGATTTCTCCTATCCCTACGCTGTCTTTCCACTGGAGACAAATACTCTTTGTCAAGCTCATTGTAGAGAGCAATGCTTAGGATGGTGAATTCTAGTGACATAATGGTCGTGGTCCTTGAGCGCTTCGATGTTCCTTTGTTTTAATGATCAAAAATTTCTGTCAGCAAGCATCAATGTCTATTTGATGCTGCTAGTAACGCATGGTACAGTAGCTACCTTTTTGCAGTTTTGCATGCTGAGTGAGACTCCCAATCATGACACTTTAGATTTGTTTTGGYGCACCATTGTCAGCTCCCCTGGCTCCTGGTGACAGGCCAGTGGCAGTTCAAAACCCAGCGATGCTGACATCAGTGACACTTTAGATAGTATGTTTTGGCGCACCATTTTTGGCTCCCCCTGGCTGCTTGTGACTTGAGAATTTTTGAATCCACAATTCCAAAAAAAGTATGCTTTTCTTGCATACTTTTCATTTTCAAGAGCCTGTCTGAACCAAAAATCTATTTATCTGTGTCAAAAACACATACTTTTATGTGTGCATGACTGAAGTCTAATGCAATTTTACTTAAATCAATGTTTACGGGAATCACCCATTTACCRTACGTTACAGGAACCATGTCGATTTCAATTTTTTGAAAAAAATAGATTCCCAGGCCCCCCTCATGGTACCAAAAATTGTGATCAGTTTTGATCACAAAAAAAATTGATCAGAAAAAACAAATTTGTGATCAGTTTTTTGTGATCAATATTGATCACAAATTAGAACTAATATGTGTACATTTTGTACTAGTCCCGTTTTTATATATGATTTTAATATASTAATATAAATAATACCAGTATGTTTACACGTCTGTACTACTASTAGTAGTACACCAGTCCTGTACCAAGAACATATTAGTAATATGCCCTACTATTRAGAATTAACCCGACGTGCTATATATATATTAAATTAAAATATACATGAAAGAATAAAGTACATATTAATTCTAATCCGATGGAAAAAAAATGTGATCAAAACTGATCACAAAACAATGTGAGCAAGAATTTCATCAATTTTGTGATCATTTCTGATCACATTTTTTTGTGATCAAAACTGATCACATAATGAAAAAAGGGGACCGGAGAATTTAATTTTTTCCAAAAACATCGAAATCGACATGGTTCCAGTAGAAGTACGTACTRCGACTTATCGCAGTATCACGACTGAATGAATCAAGGCATGGCAAGATACCGATATCTGTATTGAAATCTTGTGATTAACCCCATACCGTAGTACGGTATTGCTTCTGTGAACTATTCGTAATAGCCTTTTGTTAGCATATCCTGCGCGTAGCATGGAATCAGTATTCTTCAAGATCATGCGCGGGCATGAATAACTTTGAAATTTGTTCGAAAATGACCAGACACTTTATAACCTGAAAAATGTACGTGTGCTCTTTAGTGCCGTATAAATACGTGCTTACGAAGTACAATAAAGAGTGAGCCTATTCACTAGCTATTCGTGATTTAGGCTCACAGAAACAACTGCTCTGCAAGTGTCTATTTCACGAAGCCATTGGCAATAACCCCCTCCCCAATGACCACACATATACATATGACCCAAAAGGTCATATACTATTTCTGGGCTTGATCTACGTGTGTCATGCTCAGCAGCATTTGTTCCACGTGAACTCTGCGTGTGAGGAATCTTGCAAACAGCTCACGATATCTCGTTCGCCTCTTGAAATACGGCTCATAAATCTTCTCTGCGTGCTCGTGCGGTGCAACGAAATGTAGCTTGGGAAATTTCCTAATGACTACCTGGTGGTCATGGTCATCGACGGAGATCATCGATCGACGTACATCATCGAATGACAGTATCGACGTACASTATCGAATGACAGCATCGACAGACACCATCGAACGACAGCATCGACGGATCATCGGAGAAACTAAGTTCTGTCAAAAATTCTTTCTCCTTGAAGCAAAAGATATCGTTTTCTGCTTGAAGAGAAAGATTTGATATGAATCAAGGATTCTCACTACATTTACCTTGCTCCTCTTCCTCGCTGCACCCCTCGTTCTATTGTGTTTTGAGTTGTCAAAATCTACTTTCCAAGTCGAGTTCTCACAAATAATTGTAACAGTAACTTTAAAACTAGAACAACAAGGACAAGACGAAAAAATAGCAAACATGTGGAAGAAGTACTCCCTCAAGGCTTTGGTGGTCGCCGCTGTACTGACGCCAGGTGCATCCTTTTTACCGATGCAAGCCAGAAGAACTTCGTCTCCAACAAGTCTCAACCTGTTCGTAGGCCATTGTTTGGACTACCGTACAAAAGGTAATGCACGCAGTGGGTTGGACAGAATTGTCGACCAAGTTCAAGACAGCACTAAGGTGTTTACTACTGAGGTAGAGCGTGAAAGAATTCGTGCGGAGGCTTCAATTATGGAAACTGGCAGCTACAGGTTTCCACACTCTGGGATGCYAGTCAATTGGGAGCGTTTTAAAAATAAGGGTCAATTAGATATAACCCATAGATCACTTTTGACACTTCATGCAACCGATAACGAAATAGTAAAAAGTKCAACCCTGGCCCTCCCCATTGCATGGGACAAAACGGAAACGAAGCGAGTCATTKCAAGAGMATTAAGTCCAAACATCGCGGAKTCGATCGGAASCACTATCTACGAWTCCACGGATGGTACACTAACAGCGGATGAAATGARAAGGATTRTTTCAGCCGTTGGCSAAGCTCTCAAGGTTGAAAGAACAAGCGAGACCATTGAGAGGGCTGTTTCTTCACAATCGATAATGRTTGAATGGGACAAAAATRMWCAASAKTWTCCCAAGATGTATCTCCAAACAACGCTTTTCACAATGAAAGCAGAAATGGTCACCGAGGCAAACCTTTGTARAAACGAGCGAAGAGAATACGGCTGGAAATTGGTTTTGAGACGATATGAGGTCAAYCCTGGAAGAATGMKCACCGAATATCCATCAAGCGGTTGGGGTGATTTTTTGGATCAAAACTTCATTTCTGAAACAGAAGAGCCAGGTGCCAGGGTACCAGMCCCGAKACCAAATKKTAATGGCGTCCCTGCCAAATTTACAATTGAAGGTGTAGGTGAATATGAACCTACGGAGGCCTGCATCCTTGCGACACTAGATTGTCAGAAAGAGATGGAAGACGGATCGTGCTGGGAAGCCTTATTCGAAACAGTTCAGTAGCTTMACGTGGTTGTGGTAATTATGCAACGTTAGCAAGAAAAAAACAATATATTGAGGGTAAGAGGAGTGATTGTCGGACACGGGTCCGTGATTATWAGAGCAAGGAGGGAGTGCCMATATTCCAAGGAATAAAAGAATAAGAATGTAGCGAACACTTAATTTACTCTACAAATGATTCGTAACCACCGAACAATCTGACGTTTATCTACGGATTATATGAGGATATTAACGATTCGAAGCTTTGGTCTAAGCATTGTTCTAAGCATTGTTTCCCAGCCCCCAGAGATCTCAACAAGGCGCTTGGACGACCGTTCTTCATTATATTTGCTGCGYCAGAGGAGAAGTGCTTAGTTCTACWGCTAGGTTTTCAGTGATGTGACGACGCTGGTTATTACTACCGGGGATTGTCGTGGTCGATCGTTCCGAGGAATCTTCGAGTGGTAGAAGCTATGATAAGGACCGTAGCGATGTAGTATTGTACCGCTGTCGAAAGGCATGTCCAAAMCTTGTTTGATCTCTCTTCATGCCCATGTCTTCCGTTGCAAAAAGCAAGCAACAAAACAGATCATATTGACGAAAAAAACTAGGTCATTCGAAACAATATCCAAAGCATGAAATAGAATTGATCGTAATTAATATACATTGGTATGATTCACCGTGCAGGCATTCAAGGATATCTCGCCGGCATTTCTCACGTAAATCGATTAGATTTTGAAGAGCGCGTTTGCTGCTCTATAAAAACTTCTTGAACCACTCATGATCTTTTGCTTCTTCCAATGTAATCCGCTTTGATGCAGTCGGTTCCATTAAACGAAGTATCAAATCTTGAGCCTCATCCGAAATCTCTTCGATAAAAATTGGTGGGGGGATATAGAATGGTTTGTCCGAGGATGCATCGTTGAGTTTGCGCAAGTCTAGCACAGGATAGCCGCAATCGATTGAATTATTGATTGTGTCGCCGTTTGTAACTGATGCAGCCATGAGGGACTTTGTTATGGACTCGACACTATCTCCGCTACTCTCGTCAATCTGTTGCACCTTCTGTTCCGCTTCCAGAACCTCGTATGGTAAGTAACCCAACAATAATTCGTATAATACAACACCAAGGCTATAGATGTCGGTCGTGTGATCGAAATTGTCCGTCATGTCCCGCCAGGCCAATAGATGCTCTGGTGCCATATAGACGGGGCTTCCACCAACAATCTCTTTCGCATCAGCTGTTACGGCCATGCCGAAATCAGCAAGCTTGACGATTGCTTCTTTGCCATTGCCATCCAACAGACAATTCGCAGGCTTAATATCGCAGTGGATCATGTCTCTTGAATGCAGGTATGTTAATGCATTAATTATATCCATCACATACTAGTAATTGATGATATCAATACGAGAAGAAATATGAAAACGAAAAATTAGCTTGATGGGTGGAATAAAATCTAATTCTTGTTCGTTCGTTCATTTGTAGGCTCCTTTCTTACCGTTGCTGCTAATTTTTCTGGTATCATCTCGTATTCGTCAAGAGCACGTGCCAAATCTCCGTTGTCACAAATCTCTAAAATTGTGCACAAATAGGATACCTCGGCATTACCATCAGATGCATCTACCTTTTCGTGTGACACAACATCGCAACCCTCGTGCGCGAAGGGTTTGGTATCGCTATAAAAGTAGTCCACCATCTGGCAAATATTTTTGTGGCGCAGAGGGATGTGGAGATCCAGCTCGCAAAGAGCGTCTTCGGTTGCTTTCTGAACCTTTAGCGCATACAAAGCGCAGGAAGCAGTATCCAGCACCTCGTAAACGTCAGCGGTCCCACCACAGCCRAGCTTGCGAATAAACTTAAAATCATCAAGCGCAAAGCCCCCTCCAATGGAATCACCTTCCTGGACAGAATTTTCATCGYCTTCGTCAAAGGTTTTGCTCATTTTTAAAGCGTAAAAGTTGTCATCACATTCGCTATTTTGTCCACAGCTGCCATCGAATACGCCACCGGTGTTGGCGTCATGATCTGCAGAAATTTTCGTGGTCGCATTGTTTACGTCACGGAAAAGAGAGTCACCCATCTCGATTTCAACTTTCTGTCTTGTCGATGTGTGGAGTGTCCTTGGCTGCAAGGGCAAGGGTGACAAGATTTTACCAGCATTTGGAGTCCGGCCAATGACAGAAGATGGTGTATGTTGTTTGGGTGCTCGACCGCATATCCCGTTGGCGGAACAAGATGGTGTCCTTCCGGGTGTCTTCGTCTTCGAGAAGGCTGGAGAAGGTGTTGAATTTCCTTCTGTTCTGGCAGTGGTTTGGATATTTTTTGCAGATTCTGCCTCACCGGCCATGACTGCGAGATCATCGAGRCTATTCTTACTAAGGGCTCGCAGTGGCATACGGGGAGACGGCAAGTTCATTGGAAACTTCGTCATCGTATTTTCGCTGTCACAGCTTCCGGCTGTATTTTTTCGACGGCGTGGGCTTGGGGAAAACATGGTTGTCGTATTTTCGGATATCTCCATGGTTGGTCTTTGCGAATTTAATCTCTTGCTTTTTCTGATGATTTGAATTGCAWTCTTTCGTCAACGCCAAAGCGAAAAAATCGATCACGGCGCTCATCTCGAATCGAGGATGCTCGACGGTGTGACAAACGAGCTGACAACGCCTGAGCCCTGGCAGGATCTTCGAGGATTTAGATTCTCTTCGGTTTGATTTGCAGTCACGTAAACGCATTCGATGGCCACCTCGCGCGCTTCGATCAACGGATATATAACGCGACCATTCATGAGTTTTACCGTTAGAACGAAAATACGCGCCGGTCGAACAGTAGAAAAATCTATTTTTCCCAAACGTGAAACAAACAAACACACGAAAAGAAAATGAACCAACGCCAAAAAAATTCACCGGGAAGGAAATTTGCTCTCGACCAGAAGGGATGAACGACAAGAAGAATATTCTTTGCTATAGTTGATCAAGGCCCGAGGAACCAACTCAATAGAAGCAGAAGTCGTGATACAACTCCACCAAACACTAGTMGGAAAGTATTGTACAGAGCAGAACAATAGAGATCTAGGTCACCCAATATTACACAACACAAATAAAAATAAATCGAAGCTTTGTACCGAAGGAATCAATCGTGCAAAAAGCTCACATAACTTTGCAAACAGGAAGAAGTATTTGATGACATCGATTTCATAATGATTGATAGATTGCGAAGACATRGGAGCAGTTGGTTTGGYTCTGAAAGAGGACGATGGGTTGTAATGTCATGTACATTCGTTGGGGTTTCTTTCTATATTCTCTCTTTCGGCAACTGCATAAAAATAGAAGGACGACTTGAGAAAAGGCCAGTACGCGATCCAAATCTGCATACCATACATCATCATGAACAACAACGGCGGCAGCAGCAAAGGCGAAATCTGCAGATTGGAGGGTTCAGTAGCATTGACTTTGATTTGGATCTGAATGAGATCAATAATCGCTCAAAGTCTAGACAACCTCAGAGTCGGCAGAGTCAGACAGAGGCTCCAGGGAACAAACCAGATGGYCGATTTATTCAAAGACAGAAACGTTCAGAYGATAATTATGATACAGGAGGTGAAARCAATATATCGCCRAAAGTTGTACCAACGCCCAAACCCCCTGTAACTCCGGACGTTATTGAGTTCAAYGATGATGATTATGACGTGGTTGTTCTAGACGACATGGTGGAATGGGATTACACAGAGGACGAACCCGGGCCCATTGACAAYTTGATTAATAGACCTACAYTTGCTCCTACAACGAAGGCACAAATTCTGAACGATGTTGATGACGATGACTACACGGCAGTTGTAATTGAGGACGATGTTCCATGGGACGATGTCGTTGTAAAAGAGACTGCCAAAGATGCTTTTGATGCCATCGAAGCCATTGAGAATATCGAAGTAGATGTAGATTTTGATGCTAACTCAAACACTTCGAACGATGACTTTGACTATGAAACGGAAGAACCAACTATTACCCCCCGCCCATCTAACTCGTTCCGGCCCACGCSGTTGGCCTCTACAATGCCTACAAACGAACCAACCACAAAATCTTCTCAGACTCCCTCTGTTCAACCTTCTAGTTATCCATCCTTCCTCCCGACTAATCATCCCTCAATGGTCCCTTCTATATCTCCTACGAACTCATGCTACGATGATGTGACCTATCGGAGCCCAATCAATGGATTAAGCTGCTCTCAACATCATGGAACAAACTGTCTAAATTGGAGGTTTATTGGCCTTAACATGACTGAGCTAGACGAACTTGTTGGGGCTTGTCCTGAAACTTGCAATATTGATTGTGGGAGTTTCGATCTTTTTATGGCATCCGTTACCTTTCGGATATCTAGAGTTTCCGGATTTATGGGCCCGGAGGTGATCGATGATTTTTTGATGTTTTCAATTAATCATCTAGAAAGCTATGTTCGAAATATCGGCTGGAATGTGAACAGCGACGAGGTCAGCAGGAGCAATGATTTGCTTATAGAGAGCTCGAATCCAGATGGCTGTTGTCAGGAAGATGACTTCTTCAAAGATGATGTCGTGGATGGGCGCCCTGTTGTTTTTGAAATTGAGGATGCTGAGCTCACAAGACAAGACCTTGTCGAAGATCCTACTGGAAGGTTTGAGAATTCACGTGAAGATCATCGTTCAGAGCTAAGTCACAATAGCAATGATGGTGGTGCCTTCCGAAAACATAGAGCATTGCGCATGAGAGGTCTCAACGATCTCCAGCGGACAAAGCAAAAACCGGGTGGTGAAAGCATTCTCAAAACGGACGAAGCACTTGACGTTAATGTTAAATTTGAGGGATTTACAATCGGCATGAATCCCGAAAGTATGTCTGAACTATTGGTCCTTGGAATCGATGATGTTGACTTTACTCGAAAGCTTCAGAAATCGGGAATCGATTTCTTTTCCGACGCCACTGTGTCGTCTGCGATGGAAACCGAAGAAGACGACCTTCCGTTCGAAGAGAATTTTACGGAGGARGAAAATAGAAGCAACTCAACGTTCACAGTCGTCATATCATACATGGTTCCAATTGTAGTGATCGGTTTTGCCTTGGGGTCTGTTTTTTATCACAGATGCTACAAGAAAGGGCAAACGACTACCTATCAGGACCGTCACCATCAACGTCACACAGAGCGAGCCCAATTCGGTGGTATGTCTGCCACACCAATCGCAGTAGGCATTGATAATAGTGACAACAGCAACAGCAACAGCATTATTGGGAGCAGTGAAAGTGACGGGCGGTTTTTTAGTTCGAATCGTCAGACCTCAAGTGTGGATTGCGGTATCAATGCGAAGGAAGGAGACAAGCAATCCGCTTTTTCAAAACTAATTTCGACCTTAAATTTGAACCTCACGCTCACCAAGAGTAAGAACTCGACGGATGAAGATGCAGACGATACAGAAGAGATTCCAAATCCAGATGATGGTACTAGTAGAAGCAGCAGCAGTGATGAACCGGAGGCAAAGCAACGAAGAGAAATTCCAGTGATTGGAAGTCCTCTTGTCTCGCCAATGAGCGACGGATCAGAAGGGAAGGAATCTAGTTCTGAGAATAAAGAGGCTTTCGAAACCTTCGAAAATATTCTTCCACCAATGATTGTCATTGATAACATCGATGTTCCGGATTCAGAAGCCGTAACCCCAGTAATGAGTGCAACAAATGCTTCAGGTCGAGGATTAGTCAAGGACACTTCTTTTCGTTCCTCAGGCTCACAAATGGAGGAACTCGACRCATTTGCCTCGGAATTTCGAAAGCAATTACTAACAAAATCAGACCAGGCAGTTCACTCTAGGCATCATTCCTTCACCGGGAAATTGTATAATGGCTATTCGAATTCTTCAACCGATTTAAGGTCAGACCAAGCGAATATTTTTGGCTCGAATCGGTATGTCGGAGATGAAGATGAAGATGATGATCAACAAATCATCGACACTGTGAGCGAGGACTGGGATGGGGATGATCTTTACCCTCCGATCCCCTCCAATATCACAGCCGAAGGTGACGGGAATAACCAAGCAGGTTTAGATGATGAATTTGATCGAGATCAAGCTGCTTCGAAGTCCATRTGGACCAGTTCTCCCATAAACCTTTCTAAAAAACGAGCATACGGAACATGGGATGGAAATCCTTCATCGTCTTCTGACATGCCTGATGCAGATACCGATTTGTCCACCTCATCAATACCAGAAGCTTTGCATCGAAGCGTAAAACCTGAAATTCTACCTCGGAGACGAAGTTCGCTTCCTCCAAAACGACCACCCACACCCGAAAGAGGCAACAACACTCGGAAAAATGCCGGTGGTGGAAATATAAATGAAAAAAGTCCTGTTGGCAAAAATTCAGCCTTTTCTTTCACTCCCATAGCAAGAGCATTTGTGGGTAGTGGCAACAGCACTGACTCCGGTGGACACAGACGCAAATCTTCCGCTGATACAAATGACGACCTTCATTTGGTAAAAAACAGCAGCAGTTTGTCGGCACTTTCCTCAGATGACGCAAACACGAGCACTAAAAGCAATAACTCRAGCAATAAAGATAACAGAGCCGCCCGGCTCGAATTTGAAGCTCCACGACAGGGGAATTGGGGACTTGTGCTTGAGTCAAGCTCTAAGACGGGGCCGAGAATTTATGCTGTGAAAGACTATTCTCCTCTTTTTGGACTGATACAAAAAGGAGATAAACTGCTCGAGATCGACGGYAAAAATGTCACCCAGAGCAATCTCACTGAGGTGACAAAAATTCTGAAAGGGAAATCTTCTTCGTACCAATATCACCGAACCTCAAGCACAAGCATGCCGATTGTAGTTTCTAGACACCCATCGTCCAACGACGAATCACGTTCTGCCGAACCTCCTGTTATTGGGTCATTCGCTTACAATACGTCCTTTAGTAGCGACGACCACACCGCTTACAACCAGGATCAAAATAGTAAGTATGGCAGTTGGGGCAGCATGGGATCAAGAGTGTTGGAGKATATTGACGAGGACCATTACAATGTAATAAATGATGTGGATCAGGACCAGCTGCAGCAAATGTTATTCCAACATCACCTTCCATACGACAGTGACAACGAAATATAATGGTGGATAGTACGCTTTAGTACAAAAAAATACGCGGAGAGCTGTGCATTGCTTATCTTTGCAATAGCATTCAGAAGTCGCACAGATCAAATAAAATAACAAGACTTGATTGAATGCTTTTTCGAACGAGGCCGTATCCAATTACTAGTATTACGCTATCTTTCTACATTGTGAACACTTCTGTAATTTGTAGTTCGTGTTACTGTATTTTTGTTGTGTTTTTTTCGTGCCCAAAACACATTGGCATCCGAAAGTAAGGAATTCGAAGGGGGGAGACGCACGTTGGTTTCGGGGGTGCCCAGATGTTACTGTACCCTCTTACGTACGAGTAGTCGTACGGTATGCATTCCATGGTACGAGTACGATACTCGTACGTTCCGGTACGTAAGTGTATGATGGCGCATACCGCATGTCGTCAACGACTGCGACAGATGGCGCGGTTCGCACTTTCATCCACGATTCTCTCGAAAACAACTTTTCGTTCGAAAGAACAATCTCGTGAAGCAAAACCAAACCCCAACCGCGGACGGCACGGCACGGTCTTCGCCGATCCCGCCAAAGGCAAGCCAAGACAACAGAGACGGCACAACCACTAATCGACGGGGTTTTGGCACGAGACCGTAATACTCAAAACAGAGCACAGGATCAACACAGCTCAACACAGCTCAACGCAGCTCAACACAGCTCAACGCAGCACTACTAGCAGCACTACGCCGTCCGGAACAACAACGGCAACATGCCGGCAGACCCTTCCGCCCCCACCGAACCCCCGGGCCCCGGGACGATCCGGGTGATCTGCGCGGGCCTCGGACGCACCGGGACGCTGAGCCTCTCGGAGGCCCTGTCCACCCTGGGATACCGGCCGTATCACTTTATCGATTTTTCCCACGCGGAAGAATGGGCGGGCCTCGCGGAGGGGACCTCCGACGCCGGAAGCCTACTGGACCGGATCGTGGCCGACGGGTACGACGCGGTCCTCGAAAACCCGTCCTGCGACGTCTTTGACGACCTCCGRAAGCGCTTCCCGGACGCCAGGGTAATCCTGACGGTCCGGGACTCGGCGGAGGCCTTCGAGGAGAGCTGGAAGGTYCTCATGGACACCATGGTGGTGACGGAGCAGCCCTTCTCGTGGGCCTTTCCGTCCTTTTTCGGGTGGATCCCCCTCTTTCGCCGCCTCCGAGTGATCCGCCGCTTCATGGGAACCACCCACCTCGGGCTGGAGGAGGGGGCCCTCGCCCACGGCTGGAGGGACMGGCCTTCCGGGTGGCTCGCGGAGCAGTACGACCGGCACAACCAGCACGTCGTCGACTCGGTTCCGCCGGAGCAGCTGCTGGTCTTTCGCGCGGGGGACGGCTGGGAGCCCCTCTGCTCCTTTCTCGGCACGGGGGTCCCGGGGGGGGCCTTTCCCTTCTGCACCACCAACAACAAAGAAGCCCTCCGGAGGCTGAGAACCACCTTTCTCGCGGCCGTCTACGGGTGGATCCCGGTCACGGCGCTCGCCGCGGCGGGGGCCGTGGCCCTGGGCCGGCGTGCCTGCGGAGCCCCCCGTGCCGGGAGGTAGGGCCGCACGGGGCCTTGGATGGATTCGATTCGATTCGATTCGATTCGATCTGAGTTTCGATTCTCAAGGCAAGCCTGCCGGGATTGGGACACGCAGTGCCAGTCTGGATCACAGCCAAAATTGATCTGTGAAAGAAGAGCCGCATCTAGAAATTCTTTGCTCCAATACGGAAAGCAGTTGCCTGCTCGACAAATGGAGACAGCAGTAGTAGTAGTACTAAATCAATCTACTCTGGTATTGTATCTGATGATAGTTGATGAGCAGATGTGCTGTGAGATTTTGATAGGCTCCCTAGTATGGTACAATAATACATGGTTTTCAATAAATTGTGAGGATTATTCACCAGCTACTAGTAGTACTTGCTGTGATTGTAGTATGGGCAATGGTTCAACAAGCCTTCTGTGTCATACTAGTCGTACTAGTACTACCAGCACTCAAAACATTCCTGCTGCTTTGGAAATGACAAAACAATACCTCCTTGCAACAATTACTTTGGTTGCATGCTGGGTAGTATGATTTGTACAAGAATTGAAACAGAGGTAGGTATGGGAGGAATCTACCTCCGCTGAGAACAACTTTGCCTTGTGAAAGGGAGTGGCCCCGGTAGTAGTAGTACTAGCTAGTAATACTAGTAGTAGTAGGTTCTTACTTCTTCTTGCTTGTTGTTAGCAACAGCAGCACCCATAGTAGTAGGATGAGGAAGAAGCTTCTTTCCATCAGCACTCTTCTTGAGAGGAGTTGTTAGTACTGTACACGTCATCATTGCTGCCTTTGTCTGCTGTTGTCTCTCGGAGTTGCTTTGGCTTCCGAAATCAGTGGCTTTGCTTTCTTCAATTGGAAATCTGTCCCTCGTTTGCTTCTTGTTGGATTCGTAGGAGTTCTGGTGACACGTGGAGGATAGTGCGGGATCAATTGTTTACGYATTCGTTCGTAGCCCTTATGGATTTGTACGAGTACTGTACGAAGTAGAAGTACTACCATACGTACGTACGGCACCAAAAAGCCGCTGCTGTAACCCGTAACGGTATGTTGCATGCATCTCATTCGTTCCACGAGGGCCTATTCAGCAACTTTGAAATCCGGAAAAATGACAAGAGAACTTCGTATGATTGGTACATACCGTACCAATTTCAATTTCAAACCACCGTTTTTGAAATCATGGAAGTCGAAACATAAAAAAAAAGACTAAAACAGTTTTGACTGTAATTGGTTCGCAAAGCGGAGGGGGGGTCTGGGGGGGTGGAATTTCCAGAAACTTTCCAATAGGATGTTTTTAGTCGTAGAGCCGGTAGGGTTTTGAACTATAAGAAACATCGTAAAACAATAAAGTTACGGGAATGAGATGCCAGCTTATATAACTGATTGCAGGTGGTGGCGTGCGACGTAACAAATAACAAATAACAAATGAAGCACCAATGATCGTTCGAACCATGGTCGGAAATCACCATAAAAATGCTAACAAAAAGCACGGAGTGATGAAATCCGGCTTTCGTACGAACGAGCATCGATGCTTCACTCATATGTACGATTGAATTGAGTCACTCGTACGATACGAATGAATCGTACGGGCTGTACGATTAGGGTTGAGGTTAAACCGTATCTCGAGGTTGAATCGTATCCTCGCACGATTCACTGATTAGGGTTAAGGTTAAGCCATCGAAAATACAGCAAAACAGCAAGAATCAGCTGTTTGGTCACACTTCTTCTTTTCTTTAACAATTAAAACACCCTTTCATGCCCTCATACCATGGTGATATCTATGTTAGCTAAGTCTCTAGTGTATATTACAGTGTATTAACTTGTTATATCAACACTACACTAACTGCTGCTTATTGCACACGTGATTTCTAGTACACGTACGATACGATTGAATCATTCGAGTCTAACAAATAACAAATAACAAATGAAGCACCAACGATCGTTCGAACCATGGTCAGAAATCACCATAAAAATGCTAACAAAAAGCACAGAGTCATGAAGTCTGGCTTTCGTACAAACAAGCATCGATGCTTCATACGGTATGTACAGAATACTACTACTACGTGAAAATGCAACAATGCAACTGAAACCTGGTCATTGGTATTGGATGCATGGAGCAGGTGCAAACTAATATTTTCTTATCTCTATTCTGCTCCCTTCTTGTGATCAAAAAATACAGAGGACGCTTGCTGATACGGAGGATGCTGATACTACAAGTCGCTGATACGGAGGTTGCTGGTGATATGGACGCTGATACGGAGGATGCTGATACAGAGGCTCGCTGCTGATATGGCGTCCACTGATACTACGGAGGAAGCTCACTGATACGGTGTCTGCTGATATGGTGTCTGCTAATACTACGGTGTCCGCTGATAAAAGCCGCTGATACGAGTCGCTGATACGGTGTCCGCTGATGCGAGCCGCTGATACTACGAGCCACTGATACACCAAGCCGCTGATACGAGCTGCTGATACGAGCCGCTAATACAGTATCCGCTGATACAGTATCCGCTGATACGAGTCACTGATACGATACAAGTTCGCTGATACGATACAAGTCCGCTGATACGAGTCCACTGATACGAGTTCACTGATACAAGTCCGCTGATACGAGTCTGCTGATACAAGCTGCTGATACAGAGACTTGCTGATACAGAGGATGATGCTGATACGGAGGAGCTGCTGATACGGAGGACAAGTTGCTAATACAGACGAGGATGCTGAAACAAGTTACTGATACAAATCACTGTTATGAATTGCTGATACAGTGTCTGCTGATACGGTGCCTGCTGATACGGTGTCTGCTGATACAGTGTCCACTGATACGGTGTCCGCTGATGTGAGTCCGCTGATACGAGTCCACTGATACGAGTCTGCTGATACAAGTCCCCTGATATGAGTTGCTGATATGGAGGCTCACTGATACGGACAATGCTGATATGGACAATGCTGATACGGTCGGTGCTGATACGGACGATGCTGACACAGAGGAGTCACTGATAAGAGTCACTGTTACGGAGGATGCTGATACGAGTCACTTATACGATTGCTAGGCTTGCTGCTTGCTTGCTCCTGTTACAGAGGATGCTGATAGTACAGACACTGCTAACTACTTGTCCCGCCTCTAAGATCTTACTCGCCATAAACATCGTCCAGCTTCTTATCCGCATCGGTGAGTTCGTACCCTGGGAGGTCGGCCCCTGGGTCCGTGATGGGGGCCTCCAGGCGCCGTATTTCGGGTTCTGGGGATGGGGATGGAGCCCGTTGTGGCGTGTGTGATCGGCGGGGAGCCGCCAATACTCGTTCGCGCCTTGCGTTTGAACGTTCTTTGACCTCGTCCAGCGTCCTGCCTTCAACGTCGGGTCTGTATGGGTTCTCGTGTCTTTTCATGCGAGCGCGATGCTTAGCTTTCTTCCGGGCTCTCCCTCTCAAATCGATTCGGACCTTCCGAGCCGCGGCCGGAGGTGCGTTGGAGGACGACGCCGGGCGAGTCGATGGAGCTGCGCTCGTTGCGGTTCCCTTTGGGGGAGGTTTCAAAGACAAGGAAGCTTGAATACTGGCATTTGGAGCGTTCGATGAAGCAGCATTACTCGCATTCGTATGGGCAATCGCATCCGCATTCGTATTGGCACCATCCGGAGCGTTCGAAGAAGTGGAGGATGCAGTAAATGCAGTATCCGGAGCCGCCGATGAAGCTGAGGCCGCAATGGTTGCGTCCGGAGCGGTTGATGAAGCGGAAACTGCATCCGGAGCTTTCAATGAAGCTGCATTAGTTGCCTCCGGAGCGTTGGATGAGGCAGAAACTGCAATATTTGCATCCGGAGCTGAAACTGCAATATTTGCAGTGTCYGGAGCGTTCGATGAAGCGGAAACTGCATTAGTTCCATTCGGTCCCGTAATCGATGCTTTATTGGCTTCAAGAAAAGAGGAAGGGATGGATGTTTGTGAATCATCCAAGAATGGAGATTGGGAGTCTTCTGCAGCTTCCAGTAAGGCTTCCAAAGCTTCCTCGCGTGCATTCCTGGAGGCTTGGGAAGCCGCCAAAGAAGAGGCTCCGGATGTATGAATCGCTGCAACATTCTCAGCTGTGCTGTGTGCTGCTGGGTCTGGTGCAGCGTTTGGTGCATCCAGGGCTGGTGGGGTCCTGAATTCCTGTGATTTCATGTATAATTGATCTGAATCGTAATTTTCATCGGAACCGTATTCCCAAAACTCTCTGGCTCTGGAACAGGGGTTTTCATTAGTGTCGGAACCAGAGTGATAGGATTCATCAGGATCAGAGCCCGGATACTCATCGGAATCAGAATATTCATCGGAATCGTGAGGGTCCTCCGAGGCGGATGCACCTCTCGGGGAGTTGAGGATAGCGTCAACCGTAGTATTTTTGTTGTTTTTGTTGTCGGTGTCGGCCTCCCCGGATGTTACTCCTCGAGTGTTATTGGTCCCTTTCCCACCGGCGATGTCCTCCTGTGTGAAAGGTAATTCGGAATCCTGTGTGGGGAGGAGGGGCTTGTGGTTGGGGGACCTGGCGTTGGTCTTGTTGGGTGTGGTCTTGGTGCCGGCTGCTGTATGCGCGTTGTATTTGTTTTTGCATTGATGCATGCAGTTACAGTTGACACAGCCCTTCCGGGCCTGCAGGCAGCTGCACCCCCTCCTGTTGGTGGTTGGGAGGCGGATGCAAGTGCTGACTTTGGAGCACTGGCAACAAGGTTCTGGTGGTGGTTTGGTGTCGGAATCCCTCTTCTCATGATTATCGTCGTCGTCGTCCGAATAAGGAGCATCCTCATCAGTGTCCTGGAGTGTTTGGTAAGGGGCCCCTGGTGGGGGTCTGAAAGCTGTGGGATCAGCTCCCTCTGGAATGGGACCCTTGTACCGGACGCTTGGAGGAGGAGGAGGTGGGGGGGGGAGCTTGGTCGGGGGGAAGAAGGTTTCAATTCCACCGGTCGTCGGGTGCAATTTCGATACGTATTTGTTCTTGCATCTCTTGAAGCAAGAACAGTTTACACAGCTCCTTCCTTGACCAAGACAACTGCATCC